CTATTTTAGTCTTCTGATGCATTAAATTTTAATAATTAAATAAAAGCACACGTTTTCTTTTATTAAAACATATCTGACATAATCTATAAAGATGTCATCCGAAACAAGTAGCCAGTTCTTTTCTAGCTGTAAGGGGCAAATATTAATGTAATATTAAACTCGTGAAGCTGTTGTTGCTGCTTTATGTGTATGGCGTCTTGCTCATTTCTTTGACAAGAAAATAAAAATGTCAGTGCTTAAAAACCCAAATTTTTTCTCTGCTCCATAGACCTCATTCCTGCATGAGTAACATCGTTAAAAAGGGAAAGAGATTGAATGAAATGTTTCCACAAACAAGCATAGTTTACGATACTTATGAAATCTCTTGTACATACTTCAGTTTTGATAATGGATACTGCTGCAATTGACGGTAGAAATATTATGGTCATTTGCTTCATAATTGACTACGATGGAAAAAAACGGCCGATGTATATTTATTCTTTGCGTATTATCAATAAAGGAAAGGAGAAAACTCTCTCAATAAAAAGTAGTTCAGTATATATACATGAAGTGAGAACAATCGTTTTTATCCTTATATTTAAAAAGATAAAAAGTTTTCCGGTGAAGATACAACTCGCAGCTATTGTGACTAGGCATGCATCAAGCTCAAGCGTGCGCTCGAAGCTCAACATAGAGCGTACGCCATTCAAGCGCGCTTCCATTCCAAGTTATTCGGAACTGAGCGCTTGTGCATCGAGCGTGGTTGCGCTCTCATGTGATTGATTTCGAGCACGCTTGAAAGTTTTTCTCATAAAGAAGCATTTTCACTGAATTTTTTGGTTTACATCAAGTCTTGTTGATTTTCATTGCTTCCCAGTGTTGGAAATGATGTCTCCGTATTGGGGAGATTACTGCTGCAGATGGGTGAATATGAGAAAGCCGAAGAGTTTTATTTGATGATGCTTGATACTAGTTGTGAGAACGAGCGTGATGTTGCAACTATTTATAATCAACTTGGAACTAGTTATTGGGAAAGAGGCAACAATGAGCAAGCATTAGTTTATTACAACAAGTCTTTGGAGATTGAACTGAAATCCCTGCCTGCAGATTCGCCATCGCTAGCAGGAACATATAGCAACATTGACAATGCTTACAGAGCTAAGGGTAATTCCGATCACGCACTGATGAGCATGGAGAAGGCACTGAAAATAAAAGAGAAATCTCTTGCGTCAGATGATCCATCTCTTGCGATAACGTACAACAGCATTGGAATGGTGTACAAAGAGAAGAAGGAGTATGCTACGGCTCTAGAATACTATCGAAAATGTTTGAATATTCGGAAAGCAGTTCTTCCTGCGAATCATCCATCGTCGGCGACTATATATAACAACATTGGTGCTGTGCATTCTGTTAGAAATGAGTATGCACAAGCGCTGAAATATATTCAAACGACACTGGAGATACGTCTGAGTTCATTACCACCAGCACATCCTTTATTAGCAGTGACATACTCAAACATTGGACGAGTGTATGAGGCTCAAGAGAACTACCTGAAAGCATTAGAAAATGTGACTGTAGCCTACGAAATTGCAAAGAGATCGAAGCATCAAGACATGCACGAGTATGGACGGATGATTGAAAGACTGCATGAGAAACTATCAATCTCGAAGAGTTAGTAAAAATACATGCTCATATTCTTTCTCCTTTTTTTCCTATATAACCAAGACATTTTCGAAACGATTATCATGCACTGATTTGATGGAAATCAGGCAGAATGACTCTGATTTTGTTCTTGCCATCAGAGGCATTAATGCAGACGTTTTGGAAACCGAAGTATTCGCACTTGCACGAGCTGGGCTAAAAATGCACTGATTTTAGTAATTCTGAATCCTCCTCATATGCATTATTTTTTTTAATAATGTTTTGCACGATCAGAAACTCAAACGTGCTGGACGGTAAGTTTTCGAAAAATTATTGTTATTTCACTGTACATCGATGAGCCTCCTTTACTAACATAGTCACTACTGAGATTTTTTCGATTCCCAGTAAAGTAGCTGATTTGAATTAGTTATTTACATAAAAGTATTTGATGTACTATAAAGAAAATTCTACAATGTTTATGAAAGTCGAACCTTTTCGTTAGCTGGCCGAAATTGCGAAGAAATCGAAGCATCAATACACTCAAACTATTGAAAAAAAAAATGATCGAGAGAGTGCATGAGAAACTAGCAATCTCGAAGAGTAAAGGGATGGACACAATAGAGGACCCACCTACGATTGAAGACCCCCTCCTGTTACAAGACCTCTCTTGAACTCATAACGTAAAAACCACGTTAGAAGACCCCCTTCTTTTATCGATTTTTTGACCTAAAATATGTTGATTTTGGGGTTCGATCAAACACTAATCTTTGCGTTCGCCTTTTTCCTCAGCTGTTCCAAGATCGAATTCACCCAATCGGAACCTGCGGGATCCTTTTAATTGCGGTGATTTCCG